TTGCGATATAGCTCGCGTTACGTTGATTGCAACCCTCGGCGAATTGTGTGTACACACAATGGCCGATGTAAGATATTTTTGCCTACGTTTGTTCGCTCGAGAGCGCGGTGGAATTTCTGGCGAATCAGCGCGTTGAAACGACGATTGATCCCAGGCGATTTCATGCGAGCGCATTCTGATCGGGGATTGAACGAGCTTGGTACCGCGAACGATTCGTAAAAGTGGTCAAATATTTGCAACGACAGATTATAATGCGACGTTCGTGCGCCTTGACGCAGGTTTTTCGGATTTAATTGCAGGATTTTCAAGTAACGTGGTTCGTTTTTGGTTGATACTTTCAATTGAAATTCTGTAAAATTCAGTCCTTCGGCCTTTCATTTGGCGAAGGCAGAAGAATGAAATATATAGAGAACAGTGAATCAATCAACTCGGTTTTATTTCAAAAATATTATCTTGCGTGTGCGAGCGATTTTCTGTTTGGAATTAATTCATTGAAATAACAAACACGCGCAATAAAATTAGAAACGATTTACAGAGACGAGTACGGAAATTATTTTACTCGATAGTCAAATAGTGAAATAATTCAGCGAAGAATCAGGATTGTTTCAGAGTGAAATTCAGTCAATTAAGATGATGTGTTATCTCCAACGATCGTTTCTCAAGTATCTTGTTCTGATAATATCCAAATCTGCAATCTTGAATGCGATGAAAATTCAAAGAGTTGAAGTCCAATTTCTATCGATATAATATTGTGGATATTCACCATTAAAATGAAATATTGTGGATATTCACCATTAAAATGAAAAATAACGCTGATTAACACTGCCGACTCAAGTTCCGCTCGAATATTTCCACGTAAGTTTATAGATCGAAGTGGATGAAATTTCCGAACATTAACAGAGGGGTGGCGAAATATAGCGGACAGTTTTGAAAACAACACCAGAAGCGGAATCATTAATTCCCAAGCATCGAACGAAATAAAAGCGCGGAACTAAAAGTATTATGAGGTGCTTTGAAAAAAGAATTTACGAACGCATGAGAACACATATCGTGAAAATTTATACTCGGTCCAGAGCTACGCACCGTATCGACAGTATGAAGCAATGACCATTTCAAACTTGGACCTTTTGTCGATTCTCTTTGTTGCTCGACACGATCTACCATCGATATCTACTGCTCAATTTTTTTTTTTTTTTTTTTT